CAGGAGAAGCTGGAGCTTAGCGAGTCATTATTTGATCCTCTACAGGTGACGGAATGCCAGGCGCCATGAGAAGCCCCAACCCAACCCAACCCATTACCATGCGGTTGGTTCTGACTCATGGGGCAGAGCGAACTGCCCGCTAGGGTTTCCAAGGCTGTCAGTCTTTACAGAAGCAGACTGCCACATCTTTCTCCCATAGAGTGGCTGGTGGTTTTGGGCTAGCCATTGGGTGCTGACCCACTTGTCCCATCAGGACTCCTGGTGGTATGCCCAGAGGGAGCCCCAGACCAAGCCAAACCTGTTGCCCTTGACTGAATTCTGACTCATGGTGACCCCGGCCACTTCAGAGCACAGCTAGGCTCCGTAGGGATTTCTTGGCTGTTATCTTTAAGGATGCGGATTGCCAGACCTTTCGTCTGTGGTGCTGCGACACAGGGTTTGACAGGCAAACTGTCTGTTCATTGAGGGCTGACCATGTTGACCTTCCCATCCGATCACTCTCATTAATGCGCCCTCCACCCCACATAAACCTAGCCAAGGCTTTCCGACTTTAACACCTTCAATGATTCTGATACTTAGAATAGCACACAAGACCTTCTATGAACGGTCTCCACCCTGGTTCTCAGACATGCCTCCAATGGCTCCCTGCCCCGTGTATAGTTCTCTGCACCCAGCCTGCTCCGTTCTTATTTCTTAACCTCTGCGCCTTTGTGTATGCTGTTTCCTCTCCCTGAAATGACTTCTCCTTTCTTACTTAACTCTTGTTCATCTTTCAAAATTGATATCCACCAGGGTCAGCTCTCTTAAGCTACAGTGGAGCTAACTCTCCCCACATCCTCTCAGCAGCCTGAGTTTGCCTCTAGTTGCTGCTCAAACCCACCAGGTGCTCCTGGGGAGGAGGAGGAGGCTATCTGCTCCTGAATAGATATCTGCTCAGAAACCCAATGCAAGGTTAAGGGGTCGGAATCGACTCGATGTCATGGCTCATGGTATTAAAACATCCCTTATGAATATACCCCACAAACTGGGAGTCCTTGGGGCCTGACCAGACAACACACAGTTCATTAAGGATCTATTGAGAGAGCAGGGGTTGGGGGGCTTCTACGAGACCTCCCTCTCTGAGTTTTTCTCTATTCGTCTCCACCCGGAAAACAACAGCAGCAATAGAAAGAGGTCGAGAATTGTGGTTTGCAGACCTGCACAGCAGTCGTGCAAAGTAGAAGGGAAGGTATTTACAAAACGGTCTCATCTGGCGACAGGCACATAGAGGGGCTCAGGAGACTAGAGTGCTCCATGCATGGCCTAAACCCCACGCTCCGCAGTGGCCCTCTGTTAGGGCACACTGATCAAGAACATCATCTCAAACTGACCATGAGACTCTAAGCCAGTGGTTCTCATCCTTCCTAATGCTGTGACCCTTTCATACAGTTCCTCATGTGGTGGTGACGCCCCCCCAACCATAACATTATTTTCGTTGCTATTTCATAACTGTAATTTTGCTACTGTTGTAAATTGGGCAAACCCCATGAAAGGGTCGTTTGACTCCCAAAGGGGTCATGACCCAAGGGTGGAGAACCACTGCTCTAGGCAAAGAAAGCAAAACCTATGGTCCTGTCTGTAAACCAGGACCAAGACGGCCTACAGGGAGGCTCCAGGAGGCTCCTGGGGAAATCTTCCAGTAGTGTCATGGCAGATACTTGCTAGCAATGGTGATGGAGATGTGTGTATCTGTGTGTGTGTGTGTGTGTGTGTGTGTGTGTGTGGCACATAATGCTGGGGGTGGAAAGAGGTGTCTCACTAGTGAGCCTTATGTCCCCTGCAGTGGTTTACAGCCTAGGGCTCAACCCTTTTGCTAATCTCAAATTGCACCTAGGGGGTGTGGGGGAGATTCACTGGCCTCCACAATGGAGCGCCCACATGGGAAATGTGAATGCTTCCTGAGCCTGACTATGCAGAGGCCGAGCAAAGTCAGAGTTCCCTCTGACAGTCTTGCCTTCTGCACCCATTTGCTGCTTGACTTCCATCAAGTTACTTGTCTTCTCTGATCTGCCTCAGCATCGCCATCTGTCTGACCCCGTTCTTTCTGAGGACCCTCCAGCTCTGGACTTTATATATGACGGGGGTGTGGTTTATACTTATGCGTTCCAACCAGCTGTTCTCCTCCATCAATTAGAGGCAAAGATTCATTCATTCATTCATTCACTTCCCTAAGGTACACTGAGCCATGCAGTGTGATAAACACAGGAGTCAGACCAGTGAGCCAGAAAGAGCCAAGGGTTGCATTTTAGTAGGAAAGATGGGATATCAGCAAATTTAACACAATTTGTTTTGTGACGATTGTGATTTGTCTTAGGAAGGAAAACATCGCAGGGCTGATACCAGGCCCAGGGGGAGCCGACAGGGTCTAATGAGTTGTGGTCATGAACCTGGAAAGAGGGCCGGGGCCTAATGTGCCTTCCTCGTTTCAGCCTCCCACCCCTTCTCTGTGGAAAGGATTATTCCTCTCCTCATCCCTCAAATGAGGAAACTGAGGAAACTTTAAGAAGTTGAGACTTGGGTCCCCGAGAAAGGGTATGTCTAGTACTTTGTCAACCACACACTTCTGTATAAACCAGTCTATAAACCTCCAACATAAGTATCAGCATCGCAGGTGGTAGAAAAACTAATGCCAGGCTCTAAACCTGGCTCAACTTGTCCTGGAGACCCAGGAGCCTGAAAGCCTTTCAGGGGTGATGCTCACCCCACACTGAAAGGAACTGAAATGGAGGAGCCCCTCTGGGGGTACAGGAAAGGCCTGCAGACTGTGTCAAGCCCTTTGTCCATCAAGCACCCGCAGGGTTCCTCCAATGCTTATCACTGGCCAAGAAGCAGCTGGAAGGGGTGCTCACAGGCCAGTGTGAAGTCAGTCAGCAGGACTCGGAGCAGGATCCACAGTGAGTCAAACGCACGGTGACCAGGCACCAGGGAAGGCAGCAGCCCCAGCGGCACAGGGGCTGGAATATCAGAGGCCCTGGGGTCTGGTTCCTTAAGTCCATAAGAAGACCCCTAGAACCACAGGAGCATGGCACATTCCAGCAAAGATGAGATTCACTTAGTTTCTTCCCCATTTCACAGATGGGATAGATGAGGCCTAGGAAGCAAGTAGTAGAGGGGGGATAGGTGGTGATGTTTTGCCCCATCAGAGGGGCCCAGTGCATGCAGTCAGTACCTCCCTGCAAGTAGTGTGCTCCGTGGAGAAAGACCCCGCTTGCCTCTACTGCTCACGGGTCATTGAGACCAGCCGTTTCCGGGGCTGCAAAATGTGGACCATTTTTTCTCCTCTGCTTTAGCGGGGTTGGTGGGGTGAACTGATCAAGAACCAAACCCACTGCCATCCAGGCAATGCCGTCTCAGCATTCTCTAGAACAGAGTAGAGGTCGCTTGGGGTTCCTAAAGCCATAAATCTGTCCGGGAGCAGAGAGCTCTGTCCTTCTCCCACACAGATGCTGCCTTGCGGTTGCCATCCCAACGCCTAATCCACTATGCCACACGGCTCCAAGAACAGACCCAAACAATAACCCACCCCCTTTGTGCAGCGAGAGAGGTCCAGAGAGGTAAGGGACTTTCCAAGGTCACACAGCCCATGAGCCACAGACGCATCGCTAGTAACAGCTCTACCACTCAGCCTCAAATTGTTCAAAAACCCATCAGTGTCAAACACTCAGCACAGCCCCTCACATGGGGAACATCCGGTGAGGATTTGCAATGGTAATAACTGTTAGCAGTATTAGAGATCCCTGGGTGGTACACAGGCTTGGCCCTTGGCTACTAACCTAAAGGTTGGCCATTCAAACCCAGCCAGTGGCAACTGTGGAAGAAAGGCCTGGCCACCTACTTCCATGAAGATTACAACCAGGAGAGCGCTTTGGAGCTCCGTTCTACGCTGAAGTACACGGGTTACTGTGAGGCAGAATTGATTCAATGGCAGCCCCCTCCCTCCCTTTTTAAAAATAATAAAACATGAGGCTCTGTTAACCTGTGTCAGCCTCAGCGGCCTCATTGTACAAGGAGGCTGAAGGAGCATGAGGTCTCATGTCCTGGGGTCCTCTACCTCCCTCCCCTCCCAGATCCAGCGGCACGGGAGTGTGACTGCGGAAAGAGGCAGGCTGTTGCAGCCTTCGGTAAACCTGTCCAACCTTGCTGCTGCTCGCATTCGGGCCAACGACACCCCCACCTTCACTGTCCTGGGCTGTGGGTGCCTGAATTCTGGCCCAGTGGTTCAGCTCAGCGCTCCACTCTGGCTCTCCTGCTTCCAAAGATAGGCATCCGATTCTATTTCCCCCAAAGACAGGGGGGCAGGGGGAGCTAAGTTGCTCCTACCTCTCACCTCTCATCTACCTCTCCTCACTCCCCACCCTCCCCAACGTCTCTCAGGCGCCCCCACGTTCGCAGGCCTAGAGTCTGCGCGCATCCCGTTTTAGGGCCAGGAAAGCTGAGGTTCTCCTGCGGCTTCCTCTGAAGAGACACAGTAGCTTGCACAAGTGACCTGATGCCTAAGGCCTTCCCCTCCTCCTCCTTCTCCCTCCCCCGCCACCCGAGGGAGGGAGGAAGGAAGGAAGGATCCCTGGCCCCTCTTTCCCCTAGCCCAGCACTTTGCCCTGAAGCTGAGGAGGAACTTACCTCCAGTGCCCCACTACTGGCTCACCCAGCAAAATATCCAAGCAGGGCTTCTGATCCTTCCAGGAAGAAGAATCCCCTTTGCCACACATGCAAACGTGACCTTGCTCTCCCAGGAGCTCACAAGCCCCAAACCCCACACCCCACACTTCCATCTTTATTTCGTGTGATCAGGTGCCCCAGCCCCAGATGACCTTGCCCTGTCCCAGCCACACCAGCCCGGACATCTCCCTGATCCTTCTCTGGCTTTCCCCGTGCCCCCATTGCCACCAGCTCAAGGACCAGGCACAAGACCACCAGCTTTGCAGCCCCTCCCCTAGCTCCCCTTCCTGGGCAGCTCTTACCTGTGCCCTCCAGAGAGGAGGGCGCCCCAGGGCGGGCTGCTGGGCTCAAGCCCTTTCAGAAAGGCCAGGCTGACCACATTCAGGGAGGAGGTGCAGAGCAGCTGAGCAGGAAGGAGCGCTGGAGAGGCACTGAGAAAGTTGGAGTAGGTGTGTCCCAGGCCTGGAGGCGGAGGAGGGGAAAGGAGGTGGGGAATGAGGTGGATCATCCTCTCCTGCCAGCCCTGTCTCTCCCTCCGAGAGGGAGGGAGCAAGCCAACTGGTTTGTGGCCCAGAACTCGTGGTAGGGAATGACGGTTGGGAAGGAGCTAAGGAACCAGCCTGCCTCCCCCTGCCACCTTGTCGGCTTCTCAGAGGGATGAACTGAGGCTCCAGGCAGGCAGTACTGGCCCACGACTCAGAGACCACGTTGAACTGGGCAGAATTAGCTCTCTCCATACTTCCGCCCCCACCCAGATTGGAAATTTCCTTCTCAAAGTCAGATCCCATAAAGCCCAGTGGTTAAGTCTGTGGGGCCACAAAAAAGACCTAGTTCAAACACTGATGCATCACCTGCCAGACCAGTGAGCTCAGGTGAATTACTTAATTGAGCCTCGGTTTCCTTATTTGAAAAGAACACGGATACCAGTAGCTCCTCTCTCTCTCTCTCTCTCTCTCTCTCACACACACACATACACACTCCCATCCTCTCACTTCTCTCTCTCTCTCTCTCTCTCTCTCACTGCCATCAAGTCGATGCCAACTTAGGACAGGGTAGAACTGACTCTGTGGGTGGCTGAGATGGTCACTCTTTACAGGAGAGTAGAAAGTCCTGTCTTTCTCCCTCAGAGTTGCTGGTGGTTTCAAACTGCTGACCATGCAGGTCACAGCCCAATGTATGACCACTGAGCCACCAGGGGTCCTCTCACTGGTTGTTAGAAGGATGAACTAAACCAAAGCATGATGAGAGAGAGAGACTTAGCAGAGCAAAATCCATCACCCAAAGTATTTCTTGTCCTTCCTAGCTGTGACTTCCAAGATCAATGGCTGAAACCTCTGTAAATTCTGGTCGCTATGAGCTAGAATGCAACTCTACAGAGATGGGTGCTTTTAAGCTTTGCTTTTGCGTCTGTAAAGTGGTTGTAACAAGATAGACCTTCTTCATACGGCTGTGCGGGTTCACAAGACAGAGAACATGCATAAAGTATGAGGCCCCATGACTGATAACGTGAGACGTGCTAAGACATGTTAGCCTTGGTGCTTTTTATGAGGTGCTCTGGAGGCCACGGGCAGAGGACATCGATGACAAATTTAGAGAAAATTCCAGAGAAGTGTCTGGAGAGTCAGTGCCCGTAGAAGATGGCTGTCTCCCAGCCTGGACATCAATCCTGAGTGAAAGATACTGTTCCTAGACCCATGAGTAAGCTTATCAAGCTTCTGGGACCTGCTGGAATCAAGTCCTGCCCTCACCCTGGGCCTCCGTCTGTCCTGGGAAGATGAAGGGGGTGGGCTGGACCTGTGATTTTCAAACTGTGGACCTAGGACCAGCAGGATTAGCATCATAGGGAACTTGTTAGAAATGCAAATTCGTAGGCACCAGCCCAGGCCCACTGAGTTAGAAACTGGCAGTGCAGCCCAGGAATCTAGGTCTCAACAAGCCTGCCAGAAGATTCTGATGCTCCACGTTTGAAGCCCATGGAGCTACACTAATTTAAGACCCTTCTCTGATGTCATGGACTGCCAATTGCCAGGACCCCCCAGGAGATAACGGACTGCCGCCTGCCTCCTCCTGCCCTGACCTCTCTCTCCTATCACTGGGCTCCAGTTGGCTACAGCCATTGATTGAAATCAACGTGATGACGGAAAGATGCCAAGGGCAAAATGTCCCTTCTAAGGTGATGGCTTTCAGAGGTCCTCTACCCAGCTCCACGTTGTTGTTGTTGTTGTTGTTGTTAGTGGTGGTGGTGGTATCGAGTTGTTTCCAACTCATACTGACCCTACCCACAACAGAACAAAACGCCCCCAGTCCTGTACCACCCTCCACTTGTTCTTGTTTGAGCCCATTGTTGCAATTGTTGTGTCAATCCATCTCACCCAGGGCCTTCCTCTGCTTCACTTTACCAAGCAGGATGTCCTTCTCCAGCAACTGGTCTCTCCTGACATGTCCAGAGTACCTGAGGCAAGGTCTCACTCACCAGCATTGCCTCTAAAGGAGCTTCTAGCCTTACTTCTTCCACGACAGACTTATTTGCTCTTTTCGCAGTCCATGGTGCATTCGAGATTCTTCACCACCGTAGTTCACAGGCAGAGGGTTTTCTCCTGTCTTCCTTAGCCAACGTCCAACGTTCACGTGCATATGAGGCCGCTGGGTCAGGCGCACCTTAGTCTTCAAAGTCTCTTTCACTTCAACCCGTTAACCAGGCCTTGAGCAGCAGAGTTACCTAATGCAATGCATCATTTGATCTCTTGATTGCTGCTTCCGTGACTACTGATTGTGGATCCAAGCACAATGAGATCCTTGACATTTCGATCTTTTGTCCATTGATCATGGCGTTGTCTCTTGGTCCAGTTGTGAGGACTTTTGTTTTCTGTGCTATAACCCTTGATCTTCATCAGCAAGGGCTTCGAGTCCTCACGTTCAGCAGGTCATGACATCTGCATATTGCAGGTTGTTAATGATCCTTCCTCCATTCCCGATGACACATATATTCAAACTTCTCTGATTCCTGGCTCCACCTGATGCCAGGTTCTAGCCTCCCTCACCCTAGTGAGTGGGGCTCGGGCATCGGCATGATTCTGTTGTGTAGCCCTGGCAGAGAACCCATGTTCTGAGGGAAGAGAAGAAGCCTTAGATGGGAGCCAGCTCTCCTCTCCCCCAGTGCTACCCCTTTTAGTACAGCACACAGTCCTTTGCTTGTTTTGTGCACACACGAAAGTGAGGAGATCCTGTCCCTACCTGTGTTAGTCCGGGTAGACTAGAGAAACAGATCCAGAGACACTCATATATATATATATATGAGAGAGCTTTATATCAAAGAGGAATAATATATTAAGACAACATCCCAGTCCAGTCCAGATCAAGTATTTAAGTCCGATATGAGCCTCTATGTCTGATTCCAGTCTATAAATTCCTCCTCAGACTCATGCAACACATGCAATGACGCTGAATACAGGAAGATCACAGACCCGTGGGTAGGAAGTCTTGTGGATCCAGTGGCGGTGGAAGCATCTCAGTGCTGGTGCATGTCTCCACATGGCTCCCTCCAAATCCCTGAGTGTCTCAACAGCAGGAAAGTGAAACAGAGAAAGAGTGGCCCACATACAGAGAGAAAGAGAGGAAGTTCTCAGAATCTTCAAGAGAAGGCCATGCCTACACAGAGGCCCCATTGGCTAGGATCTGATGGACAGCTAGACTCCACCCCTTTGCAAGTTGACAAGAGGTTATGTAACTTCCACCCTACCTTCTTTCCAGGCATAAAGATTATAGAAGTAGGTGAAATAGTCCCTGCTCCACAAAACTGGAAAGGATTGTGTAAGCGCACTGTCCAGTCCCTTCTCCAGCCTCCCCACCTTCACCCCCCACAGGGCTTAACGCCCCTCAGCAGCACCCCTGGCAAAGGAGTGAGTCTTTGCATGCACAACTCTACCTGCCAGGTTCTTTTTAGCTACTGGGTGGCTGTGAGTTGAAATCAACTGTGGCAGGGAGTTGGTTTTGAGTTTTATTACCTATTTCAGAAGTCAGTTCAGACCCATTAGCCATTTGACCTGAGGTTTAGCTGAGCAGCAACCCTGGTGAGTAGACACAAATTCTTCCTGTTTGATTACTACTATTATTATAAGTGATGTCCTCTCAGGCACATGACTACGATTTGCTAGGTCTCCATTTCCTCCCAGGCTAATGGATATCACAATGGCTAGGGACAGAGTGCCTTTGCTCCCTGTGCAGGGGGACCCACGGCTGAGCACTGGATGCAGGGGGGTGGTGTGGCTGGACGTTGGTCATGCCAGAGCCCAGGCTGGGTCCTGGAGACAGGTGGAATCTCAAAGGCCCTGGCCTTGCAGCTGATGCAGGAGTAGAGGCCCTTGGTCATTTCCCAGGCCTCGGTGGGATGATCCCTCTCAGAGCCACTGCAGGCCTGTGGGCCGGGCCCTCGGGAATGCTGGCTGGCCACAGCTGCCGTGGTGTTTCCCAGGATGTCTGAGGATTCCCTGCCTGTCAGAAGCTCAGAGGCCTCCCTCCTACAATTTGCCCCAGCCCTGGGGGTGAGGCCTTGAGGTTTGCTACTGTGCTCGGCTCTGGGAAGGTTAACCTGGGCAATTATCCACTTGGCTGATTGCTGCCCAAGCCTCTGAGTCTGGGCAGGTTAGGCATTAACTGAGGCAGGGTGCTGGGTGGCCCCACCAACCTTGACTGCTCATGTGCAGAGGGGCAGTATCCTATCTTCCTTCAGGGCCCCATTTGAGCCCAGGCTGGGCTCCAGCCTGTCCCACTCATGCAAGGGCTATCTACAGACTGGCTGGAGGTGGAGATGGGTATCAGATGATATCCAGAGCTCCATCCTGTTGTCCACAGTTCCCCCTTTCCAGGTCCCCTGGTTTTTTCCCTGTCTGATGGGAAGAGTCTCTTATGCACCAAGAAAACTCGATTTCCACAAGGAGCTTGGTAATTCATTGGTTAAGTGCTCAGTTGCTAACTGAAAAGTTGGGAGGAAGCCCTGGCAATCTATTTTCATAAGAAAACAGCCTTGGAGACCCCAGGGGGAACTCTACTCTGCCAATGAGGTCACTATTAGTCAAAAGCCCCCCAGGGTGCCTAGCAGTCATCCCTAGCAGATTTGAAACCTTCTCCTTCCTGAGCCCCTCCCTGCTCACAGCTTCCGGGACATCTAGAAGTCCTCCTCTTCCTACGGATATTGCGCCTACCCATCTTGAGTTGGGCTGCTAGCCTCGGGGTCAGCAGTTTGAAACCACCAGCTACCCCAAGGGAGGAAGGTGAAACTTCCCACTTCCCATAAAAAGTGACAGTCTTGGAAACTCACAGGGGCAGGTCTACTCTGTCCTGTCGGGTCTCTATGGGCCAGAATCCACTCGATGGCAATGAGTGTGAGTTT